CCATGCCCCAAGCTTGAATGAACCTCTTACAGTACCCTTGGACATTGTTCTCATAGTCGAATACAATTCCCTGGACCAGTGTATCATAAGGACCATCCCTCCTAGCATACACAAACCGTCGCAATTCCAATCAAGGGTTATAAGTGATTCCTCCCCTAATTCCTAGGATAGGGGCATTAGGGAATTCCCCATAATGATCAATGATGGTAACGTCTTCCACAGATCTAGGGCACCAGTGAATATCTGAATGCGTGAGAGACATCAACATATTAGACCATCTCATGCCTTGCTTATTATTCAACACAGATCAAGGTAGGTGCGAAATAAACCACCTAGCCAACAGAGGAGTTCAACACATGAGGGTTCCTCTTCTCTTTACGGTGCGAGTGTGAAAAGAGTGCAGAATGTCTCCAAGTAAAGTAGGCACCGGATTACGAGACATGAAAACTTTGACCATATTCACGTCTATTAGTTAGTCTGGAATAGGGAACAGTACCATCCCATAGATGAGAAGGGACAACACCTCTTCAAAGACTTGTAAGTCCAAAGTATCCCAAAATGGTGAGCTTTCTCAAACAAAAACTTGGCTAGAAACCCTTTGACAGTGCTTCTTGTTTCCTAATTTGTCACAACATCGGACCGTTGTAACTACAGGGCTTGAGCGATCTCCTCAGGCTTTAGGTCTCTTTCCATACCGTTTAAGGGTAATTGATTGAGAATAGGCACTCCCAATAACTGATAAAACTCTTCCATGGTAGGCACCAACTGGTAAACGGGAAATGTAAATCAGTGATGTAAAGGGTCAAAGAACTGAAAGAGGACTTTCACAATGTCTTCATCAGGGCTTGAGGTGATGAAATTGAGGATTCGACCATGTCTTTTAATGAATGGGGAATTCTCAGGAACCCTTGATGTCAACTCTTTGAGTTTAGGAGGCACACTTACGAGTTTGACTTGGATAGTATTTATGCGAATGGGAGCCATGTCCTACAAAACAGACACAAAGATAAGTCCTAAAAGTCCTTGAAATGGTTAGTGTGACATGCCATATTATGATGTTATGATGTTAAAAGCTTTTAAGAAGTGAATGATTGTGTGTCTTTGAAGTGTGACTTATGTTATTCTCTAAGTGTTTAGAATTGTTTAGTCTTTGTTCTTTGATTGGAAGATATTTGAGAAGGGTCTCATAAGAGTCTTAGGTAGAAGCTAAACAAGGGTAGTGATTAAGTGATAAATTATAAACAAGAGAATTTAGCTTCAAATTGATACTATCTAGCTGATTTCGTCTCTGGCTTGGTATCCCCCAGAGTAGGTATTGTTGTACACTGAACTGGATTAACAATCCAGTGTGTTCTTTACTTTTCTGCACTTTGTTTATCATTTACCTTGTCATTGTGTGTTTGTTCAGAGTAAAGTTTCTCGACATCTCTTAAGACATCTGAGATCTGAATACCAGAATTTCAACCATCAACTATCTTTAGGTCATTCTGTTACACAGAATGTCTAAACAATAATAAATTCATCTCCACTATGAGAATAACTTATGACATTTATGTAACATTGTATGTCGTATTCTCATAGTGAGTCAATTGAATTTTGTTAAGAATTCATTATCAATCAATTAGTATTAATTGATAAATTAGTCACAACTATAAATTATATTATTACCTATTATGTATAACCTCTTTTGCATATATATATAAAACATGTGTGATCATATTTGACACACAGAAATACAATCACAATATGGTATCAGAGCCCATTTTAAGATCCGTTGGGTCATTTCGCTATCAGACCATCCATCATTTAGTTTCATGTTCTAGGCATTCAATCCTGGACGTGAGAGGATGTTAAGAGTTCCACATCAGACAATATATAATTTGAACATGTACTTATAAGTGAGGGAAATCATCACCCTACAAGTCAGTTTTGTAGGGTTGAGTTAGACTCAACTCACACATTCTAAGATGGTATCAAATCCAAAGAATAAAAAAAGGGAACCTTCAAAGAATAAAACACAAGCATATTTAGGATTTGGATCATGAGATCAAATACCTTTCTGTAATGCTATTGGAAGGTCAAGTTCAGGTGAAGTTATGACTGATCCCAATTAACGTCAGGCGATGATGAAAGAAATGGTTGCATTGTATTCAGTTAATACTTGGAACATTGTTACTTTACCTTCACTTAAAACTACAGTGGGATGTCGATGGGTTATACAGTGAAAGTTGGACCAGATGGTCAGATTGATTGTTTCAAAGCTTGTCTGGTAGCCAAGGGATAGACATAAATATTTGGTCTTGATTATGGTAACACTTTTTCTCCAGTAGCCAAGATTAGTTCAGTCCGTATCTTCCTTGCAATGACTGCTATTAATCATTAGTCACTTCATCAGTTGAACATTAAAAATTTCTTTTTACACAGAGAATTGAAGGAGGAAGTTTAAATGGAACAACCTCCAAAATTTATTGTTCCTGGCAATTCAAAACTTGTTTGTCAAATTAACCGATCTCTTATGGGCTGAAACAATCTCCATGTGCTTGGTTTGATCGCTTCAGCCCTGCCTTGATAAAGTTTGGTATGACTAGATGTGAAGCATGCCACTCTATTTTCTTCCTTCATTCCTCCACCGGCCAGTGCATCTTTCTTGTGGTCTATGTTGATGATATTGTTATCACTGGAGACGATACATAGGATATCCAACGACTCAAAACTCATCTTTTCAAAAGCTTTCAAACAAAAGGTTTGAATCCACTCAGATACTTCTTAGGAATTGAAGTTTCTCAGTGGTCATCTGGAATTGCAATTAATCAACGTAAGTATACATTAGACATCCAGACTGAAACTTTTGTGCTTGACTGTCGTCCGATTGATACTCATATGGATCCTAACGTCAAGCTTATTCCAAGTTAGGGGGAGCGGTTGAAAGACCTGGAAAGATATTGGTGACTAGTGGATAGATTCAATTATTTTATTATCACCTGACCAAATATTATTTTTGCAATGAGCATTGTGAGTCAACTTTTGAAAGCTCCTTGTGATACTCATTGAAATACATTTATTCGGATTCTCAGATATATAAATAATGCACCCATGAAAAGGCCTATTATATGAAGGTAAGGGTGATGCTAAAGTCACTTATTATTCAAAGATGGAGACTGGGCAAGATCATCGTCGGATATAAGATTCACTTCTGAATATTGTGTTCTTATTGGAGAAAATATGATCTCATGAAGGAGCAAGAAACAAAATACAATTGAATTATCTAGTGTTAAAGCTGAATATTGTGTTATACCAGCAGCATCAAAGAAACTTGCATGACAAGAATTTACTCTCAGAACTTCGGTTGGAAGACCTTCAGGCCACAAAACTCATATGCGATAATCAAGCGGCACTTCACATTGCATCCATTTTGATTTTCCCTTAACAAAACACATAGAAATAGATTGTCATTATATAAGAGACAAAATACTCTCAGGAGAAATAACCACATAATTAGTCAAATATGAAGATCAATTAGTTGTTATGTTTACCAAGTCTCTCAAAGATTGTCGAGTGAATTATATTTGTAAAAAGCTCGAATCATACAATATATATGATTCACCTTGATGGGGAGTGTTAAGAATTCGTTATCTATCAATTAGTATTGATTGATATTCAATTAGTCATAAATATAAATTATATTATATTATTATCTATTGTGTATAACCTCTTTTACATACAAATATACGGCATGTGTGATCATTTTGACCCACAAAAGTACAATCACAATAAATATAAATATTACTCATAATATTTATACCTATATAAAATTTTTATATTTTATTATTATCTCACTTCACTTGACTGCAAATATTTTTAAAATATTATACTTTTTAATAGGATTTTACGATTAAATTATAAATATTTTATATAACAAACTACCTATTATAAGAACTTTATTGCTTTAAAAAAACTATAAAATAATGTCGCGTTATTATTACTAAATAATTTCACGTTTTAATAAAATTATTGGTCTGAACTTACACCAACAAATATTTATTAGGATGACTAGCTTCTGAAACTTTATTTTATTAGGATGACTAGCTTATGAGACTATTCTTATACATCGTCTACTGAATCAAACAATTGTGGTACATATCTACAATTTTTTGAGATTAAAAATTTCAAATTAATTAAAAAATTATAAGTGAGATGACCCGAATCAAATAATTGTTGTACATATCTACAATATTTTGAGAAACATGTGAGTTAAAAGTTCCAAATTAATTAAAAATTAAAAAAAAAATTATAGATGACCCATATATTTAATTTCTTAAAGTTTTGATTGAATAAATGTGTATGTATGTTTCTCTTGACCCATATTCTAAACTAATGCTTGATAGGACATATTTCTAAAATATTCTCAATAATTGATTATGTTTTGGAAACAATTATGTAGAAAATACCAGCAAATGTTTCCATGGAAAAACAAAACTTTAGTCTGTTCAAATGTACCTATCCGCTTCCAAATACAAAATTCATCCCCTTAATTTCTATCCAAAAGTAAGTTATGTTGATTTACATTAATTTAATCTGCATTTATTTTCTAGAATAACATCAACAGGTTGATCTCACACTGTGTTTTATAGTTACAGTTCAGCGTAGAAGTAGATTTCAATATCCAAAATTGTCAACCATGCCAACAAAGTTTAGCATTACAAGACAAGCCTTCATAAGTTATATATATATATATATATATATATATGGTTTTTATACATACTTTACTTCACTAGTGCATGCAAACATTGCTATCTAATCATCAAACTTGGTTGCTGCTGTTTCAAAACTATAATTACACAGCAGCTTAGCTTGGTTTCTACTGGTTTAAAACCATATATACAAAGCAGCTTAGCTTGGTTTAAGTTACAAAAAGGGAAAACCACTTGATGCACAGCCACAGCCACAGACAATAGCATTGCCTCAAAAACCAAAAAAGACTTGCCCAGTAACTAGTACAGTTATTTGGGTTCTCCTATTGCTAACCCAGTTAGCAAATCTACTGAACGATAAGCATCCAAATCAAATGGGAAGAAGGGGTCCTTGGATGTTTTTTCTGTCATTTTAAAAGCCAAGTCCACTACTGCATTGTTGACAAGAGGGTTATTTGCTTGAGGTTGCAAAGTTACATAGTAGTAGTCACCACAACACACATTAGCCTTCTTTTCATCCTTCTTAAGATCTTGAATGCTCTTCTGTTTATTATTGTCAGTCATCAATGCATCCTTCTTCTGTTCCTTCATCTTCTTGCTTTCCTCCACATATGGCTACATGAAAAAAGCATTTAGAACTTACAAGTCATAAATTCCAAGCAAATCTTATGTTATATCAATTTCTTCTATTGAACCTGTTTATCAATGTCTGACAACTTATTCCATTCTTCCACAGCCATGCGCAGGATGGCTTTGCTATCTATGTCCTGACCAGAAGCTTTTAATCGGGCACATTCCTGCTTGAGGAAAATTTGATAACCACTTCGTCCCGTAGGACAACCTCGCTTTTTCTTCTTTTCTTTGTCCTTTGATGGTGTTTGTAGGAGCACTTCAGGTATTGCTGCATAAGTAACAAACATGTGTTGGAACTTAGTAAATTCATTAAGGTTCTAAATTCCTCTAACCTGTCACTTTGGTAGGGCAGTCCTTTGATATCTCTGCCTCTGTCGGATAATCTCCATCATCCATTAATTGGGACAAACTTGATGTTGATCCCTGCTTCCTTTTAGCTGAACCTTACAAAAAAATTGACAGTGTTGTAGTATTCAAGGTTAAACAACACATATTCAACTTAATACCAAAATGCACAAAAACATAATACAATGAAACAAAACAGAAATGAGTGTCTTAGATTAACCTTTGGTGCTGCCAGTTGCAGTTTGAGATGCAGGAAACCTGTAGAAGTAATATTTCTCAAATTTGTATAGAAGCTTTCCATAGAGCTTTTGAAGTTGACTACATAACCTTGCATTGTTTCCTTCCAGTTTTGAATGGGGCCAAAGTCCAGTTGAAGCTTTAGGCAAAACCTTGTTTAATAATCATTTATCCAAGCATATACTATATTTACTTGTAAACACAAACTTATGTCATTCCTTTCATCAAATATACTGTAAATTGCATGTGGTTTTGCTGCATAGGATTAAAAAAGATATACAAGCAGTTCATTGAAACCAGACAAGAAAAGTTTGTTTATTAAAGAAAAATAAGTCAGGGCAACACAAAAAATCTAATCACTCTGAAGTTAAATCATCCATAATAGAAGAAACAATCAATACAACTAAACACTTCATTAAATGAAATAACACTTTTCCTAATTAACCATCAATTGAAATCCTTCAGTCTCTTTTTGAGCATATCCATTGATTTCTTCTTAGCACTTTGCTTCGTATTTTTATTTGAAAGGCTTCCAAATAAACCATCTGCAGAATCCTTGAACTTATCACAAATGTTAGCAACTTTCTTATAATCAAGTGCATAGTAATTTTTCTCCCTTATCACAGGATTCATGAAATTCTCAGGTTGACTACTTGACAAAAGATTGATTAACTGTCTCGCTTCTATCAAACAGCTCTTAAAACTATCCTTGTAGATTTCACCCAATCCAGAAGAATAAAACTTCTCGTCCGCGAAACCCTCCAACATCATAAGATCATTGTTAATATTCATAACTGCGTTAGCGTTAAACCTTTTGACACTATCACTGAGAAAAGCAGCCACAATTATATCAGAGACATGCTCAAGTGCACCAGTTCCGACTTTATACATAGCATCCAAGGGTAAAATTTGTTGCGCTGTAGACATAAGCGAATCGAGGTAAAAAACCACTTCATTTAAGTACTCGTTTCCATTCGGCTTTGCCTCTTCCGTAGTCCAAAGAGCACTGTCTGTGAGTTTCATATAGTCGTCCAATTTTGCGTTAACTAAACTCAGCAGGGTAATATAAGCTGCATCCCTTGAAGTTTTCAGTAACACCTTTGCAGCTAATGCAGCTTGAGGCTTATCGATTGATCGAACCGAGACACCTTTTCCACATAATTGAGCCACATGCCTAAGGAAAAAATCACAAGCTCTTTCAAGAACAGAAATGTTTGCAGCAATCTGCATAGCTTGAGACACAGTGATATTTCCACCATTTATTGTGTCCTGTAATGCTTCATTTAACACTTCAATCAGAAGCTTGTCCAAATACTTCCTCACAATATCAAAGAAACTTGTTGTTACCCCATGAGACAAGTAATCAACAGAGCCTTTGATGAACGACCTCACGATGTGACAAGCTTCAGGTACCATCGAAGAGAACGCCGCTACGTAAGGAAAAGCAGGCATAATATCAGAAGTTTGAAGACTAAATGACAGAACATCATTCTCATAATCAGTTTCTTTTTTTACCACCATTTGCTCATACGAGTCGTTTTCAATAACATCGATAATTTTTCGCCTACAATCTGCCAAAAGAAGCAAGTGGTATTTGTCGCGACAGCTATCGAGCACGTCTAATAAAGGGCTAATGTCATATCCATATTTTCTAAGAGTCGAACCAACAAGTGTAACGTAATCCTTAATCAAGAGAAGATGCGTGGCAGAGTTCATATGCGAGAATTGCATGTCCAACATTGATGTCATTTTCGACAAAGCAGTCTCCCACATTGTTTCAACCTGATCCTCTACAAGTAGTCCCCCAGCAGTCCTTAGAACCTTGTCCTCCACGATAAAATACCCCGCAATCTGCGCTAAAAGTGTCTGATACGATTCAACAAAAGGCTGCGATGACGATATCTCCAAATCGGAGTTCAACTGTAACAATCTATTCTTATAATAGTATTGATGAAACTGCTCTAGGATCCCCATACAACTATGAATATGACAAGCACGGTAAAGCGGCGTGAGATCAAATTGCATTGAAGAATCATCATCAGCTTCTTCAACATCCAAACTATATACCCTATCGTCGACAACAGAAATACTTAGATCATCAACCTTTCTCTGCCTTTCTAGAATCTCTTCGTCCCTTTGACGAACCGACGCAGTGCGACCGATCGCTGTTTGCCCGATTTTCTTGCAAGAACTTCGTATAAGGACCATCCATTCATTAACCTGACTACACACCTTCTTCTCAATATGCAATTTTATCGAAGGAATCCTCTTCTCTATCACCAATTTAAGAGCTCTAGCAGGAATACTTTGCATATAACTCTTCTCAAGCAAATCAACAGTTTTCAATGCAGGATAAAATTGTGCTTCAGAAATATGATTATTGCACTTGACACAAAGCTCCAACACCTGAATACAGTTCATCGACATCTTAATAGCTTCCGTCACATTCTTCTTGACAGAATAAGATTCAAGAAGCTCCTCGAGTTTGACAAGAAGGGTTGTTCCAACTTGCTGCAGCTTGAAATTATCACTCTGGAGTTCACTCTTCAGCTCCTCAGCATCAACCAACACGCCGCGAAGCTCATCAACTGCGAGAATGAATTCTTCATAATGAGTCTTGCACATATCTTCGATTTCAGCTTCTTTTTTCTTAACCACGAAATTAAGCTGGCGAAGAAGCGTCTCGGGCCGGCCCATTTCAAAGGCATGTCTAACAAGAGGACTAAGATCATCTCCATTGGCAATCAAAGTTGCTAGAACTAAATCCTCTCCTTCATCACCATTCTCTACCTCATTTCTCCTTTTTGCTTTCACATCCATTCTCACATGAATGAATGAACAAATAACCCTGCAATCTGAAATCACAATAACAATCATATATTGCATTGCATGTAACAAACTTCTATATAGCATTCAAATTATTACGATAATAACGTCAGTGTCAGTGTCGTATTGGTTTGTAGCCAAACTTATAACTAATTAACTAGAGTAACAAACATTGAATCACCGCCACAAAAACCTCATAGAAAAAATAGATTGATGAAAAAAAGGGATTACACAAGAAAATACAATGCAAATGGCAGAAACATAGTGTGAGAATGCATATCCAAAATTCCAAATAATGTAATTATAAGAAAATGAGTGATAAAAGAATAAATACCGTAATGTGATGAACCGTTTCAGAAGCTTGTGATAGAAGATTGGAGAGGTTGAACACAAGGTTTCTATTGATCGTGACAAATTTACCAACGTAGATTAGATTGCATTCTATTCTATGATCACTTGGAAGGAAGAAGAACCTGGATGAAGTTGTGTATGAGATGGGATTAGGAAACGTCCATGCGGCATTTTCAGATCACAAAATCATGTTAAAATTTTGACAAAAGAATTAGCCACGTTACATTAATAATATATGTAAGAGAGTATGATTATATGCCAAATTCTTAGGTACCCATAGTGATAGACTTATTGTGTAAATTGTTTCACTTATAGTAAATAAAGATTAAACTCATATTAATTACAAATTAATAATTATATCAATTCAAGATATTATTTAAAATTAAAATCACCTTTATTTCAAAGGTCATGCTAATATGTGCCATAAAAATACATGTTAAGGATACTATAAATTTAAAAAATTTAAATGTAACAAAGTCATATTTAAAATTTGAAAACATTGAATGCACGTGTTATAAGAGAATATTTCTACAAATAACTTATTAACTTGTACCCTTGAGGCACATGTTAGCATTTTCCTTATTTCAATGGTAAATTGGAGATTGATAAGATGACGGTGTCTAATGACGCTTTGTCTTCGAAGATTTTGTCCTAGTTTGAAGAGGAATACAATGTGTTACATGCAAACACTTTGACACCCAAATTAGTTGATGAATAAGAAAAAAGGTAATGTTTTTAGATTTTTGAGAGGGTATCTTGATTTATTGACTGCAACCTTTTATATGGAGGTTGTCTATAGGGTTTATGGAGACTAATGACCTTCGTTACTATTCAAGTGGACAAATGTCAAAATATAATTAGTTTTCATTTAACGGCCCCAATTCAATCATCTATCTGGATTAGGAGTTTTTTTAGGAAAAGTTCATGCTTGTTCCCTAGGATCCAAAAATCTTCTTTGGAATAGTTGACATATGGTTGATATCTTCCCTTATGACATCATTGCTCTAGCGTCATACCATAATAAATATCTTCGTCTTACTAGACTCCATGTTTTGGGTTAAACTTGAAGGCTAAGATTGAGGAGGAATAGTCATGATCATTTGTTGTCACCGGGTCATTCATACCATAACTCAATATCCTAAGGGGCTAACATTCTTCCTATCCCGGCCCAGGGAAGAACAATTTCCCCTCAAACCTAGTTCAATAGAACCAAATTTTGCCTTGTGATACTCCCGCATATATGATTTACTAAATACTTGACAACTTTAGTGGAAGTTTGTCTATCTTTAACTTGTTTTTTTCCCTTTAGTATTTTGATATTCCAATGTCTTTTTGTTAGGAAATGATGTGACTCTTTGAAATTTTCCCTCTCAACCTTCAACCATGTGTAAGTCTATATCTAGTACTAGGCCTCTTATGATGAGTTTTCATAGGAATTACCATCATCGTTATTACTCTGAAGACTCTTATGTTAACACATTCTTTGCTTATTGTTTGGCGTTCGTCCTTTATTTATCCATTTCTAGATTGTGGAATTTTTTATTTCCTTCTTCCTTCTTATGTGTGTATAAATACTTCAAGACGTTAAACATTTTATTTTTCTTCATTTGCTATTTTCTACTTTCGCTAGAAGTGCTCTTGTTTTCTCCTGAAGTGTTCTCTCTTTCTTCTTCTTCTTCAACTACTCCATCATTTTTAGTAGTTAACTCTTTCTTCATCCATTATTCTTCATATTTATTAGGTTTAGCAATTGCATTATGAAGGTAGTTTTAGATATATTATTATCGAGTGTATAAGATTGTTTCCTTCACATCTTATTTTCTTTTCTATGTGTCTAGGTACAATGGTTCATGTCATCAAATACCCTCAAACTTATTCTTGTCGAGGAGACGTACAAATCTTATCCTTAGGTAAATGACATTTACTTGGGGAATCTTTCAATGTATTTTGATTCAAAGTAATCAGAAAACTACAAGGTTGTTGTTAAGTAGGAATTTCTCCTAGCACTTAAAAAGTTAGAATCCCAACTTTTATAGATAAAATATGCCAACACTTTCCCCATCATTATTTCCCCAAGTTTGAGAAATTGACTTTTTCCTAAAGTTTACTACCTTTGAGTGGGAAATTCTTTGTTATTTGATTCTGGTTCATACGAAGTTACATCCAAAATATTTACGTTGGGAATTTTACTCCGATGGTACCACATACATTCACATAGTTTCGAGTTTCATGTTCGAGTCGTATATGTTGAATTGTGGTGTTGATGATTTGTGAAGTGTTGAGTTATTGTTGTATGAAGTGGTGATTCTTTTTATTCTTTACCTAATATATTATTTATCATAACCCTATTTATGTAGTTTTATATCTCACCCCTTTTGTTTGAATATTGCCCTTTGTTGGTAACGTGTAGGTAACCAAGATGAGTAGCCGATAGCATTGTTAGTTCGAGTTCGGTGTCTTTTGCTCTGATACGTAGCACTCGGGGGGAAATGAACGCTTGTCTTATTTTGTTGTTTATTGATTGAACCTTATGTGTTATTTGAGGAGTTTATTGCATGGATGTTGTTTTATGATTCAAAAGATGCTACATCTTGTTTAGAGAATTATTATGAATCCGTTGTGTAATTAATCAAAGTTTGGGGTTACAATGGAAGAAACAAAGATAAAACTAAACTCCTAAATCAAACAGGACTCGGGCTTCCCATGAGCGCATCCTCTTTGGTACAATGTAGGCATTCAAACTCTGTTCTTCATGCAATTGTCTTGTAAGCTCCAAAACCTTCTTCTAGCTTGCGTAGAACTGGGTTTCAAAGGTGTCTCGTTCCTCTTTGAGTTGAATCCAAGATATTTGCAATTCCTCGAGAGTAGTCGGCATGCCAGGATGGAGAATAGTATGAGGTACATCTGTCTCAACAATAGGTTCCATGATGATAGGTAGGATGGCGGGGTAAGGCATCATGATATTTTGAGTGCGTACCCGCACCCGCTTAAGATAAGGCTCCAAAGGGATGGATTTCTTATGCCCCAATGTCTTGCTATCCACTCTGTTTACCATGCCCCAAGCTTGAATGAACCTCTTACAGTACCCTTGGACATTGTTCTCATAGTCGAATACAATTCCCTGGACCAGTGTATCATAAGGACCATCCCTCCTAGCATACACAAACCGTCGCAATTCCAATCAAGGGTTATAAGTGATTCCTCCCCTAATTCCTAGGATAGGGGCATTAGGGAATTCCCCATAATGATCAATGATGGTAACGTCTTCCACAGATCTAGGGCACCAGTGAATATCTGAATGCGTGAGAGACATCAACATATTAGACCATCTCATGCCTTGCTTATTATTCAACACAGATCAAGGTAGGTGCGAAATAAACCACCTAGCCAACAGAGGAGTTCAACACATGAGGGTTCCTCTTCTCTTTACGGTGCGAGTGTGAAAAGAGTGCAGAATGTCTCCAAGTAAAGTAGGCACCGGATTACGAGACATGAAAACTTTGACCATATTCACGTCTATTAGTTAGTCTGGAATAGGGAACAGTACCATCCCATAGATGAGAAGGGACAACACCTCTTCAAAGACTTGTAAGTCCAAAGTATCCCAAAATGGTGAGCTTTCTCAAACAAAAACTTGGCTAGAAACCCTTTGACAGTGCTTCTTGTTTCCTAATTTGTCACAACATCGGACCGTTGTAACTACAGGGCTTGAGCGATCTCCTCAGGCTTTAGGTCTCTTTCCATACCGTTTAAGGGTAATTGATTGAGAATAGGCACTCCCAATAACTGATAAAACTCTTCCATGGTAGGCACCAACTGGTAAACGGGAAATGTAAATCAGTGATGTAAAGGGTCAAAGAACTGAAAGAGGACTTTCACAATGTCTTCATCAGGGCTTGAGGTGATGAAATTGAGGATTCGACCATGTCTTTTAATGAATGGGGAATTCTCAGGAACCCTTGATGTCAACTCTTTGAGTTTAGGAGGCACACTTACGAGTTTGACTTGGATAGTATTTATGCGAATGGGAGCCATGTCCTACAAAACAGACACAAAGATAAGTCCTAAAAGTCCTTGAAATGGTTAGTGTGACATGCCATATTATGATGTTATGATGTTAAAAGCTTTTAAGAAGTGAATGATTGTGTGTCTTTGAAGTGTGACTTATGTTATTCTCTAAGTGTTTAGAATTGTTTAGTCTTTGTTCTTTGATTGGAAGATATTTGAGAAGGGTCTCATAAGAGTCTTAGGTAGAAGCTAAACAAGGGTAGTGATTAAGTGATAAATTATAAACAAGAGAATTTAGCTTCAAATTGATACTATCTAGCTGATTTCGTCTCTGGCTTGGTATCCCCCAGAGTAGGTATTGTTGTACACTGAACTGGATTAACAATCCAGTGTGTTCTTTACTTTTCTGCACTTTGTTTATCATTTACCTTGTCATTGTGTGTTTGTTCAGAGTAAAGTTTCTCGACATCTCTTAAGACATCTGAGATCTGAATACCAGAATTTCAACCATCAACTATCTTTAGGTCATTCTGTTACACAGAATGTCTAAACAATAATAAATTCATCTCCACTATGAGAATAACTTATGACATTTATGTAACATTGTATGTCGTATTCTCATAGTGAGTCAATTGAATTTTGTTAAGAATTCATTATCAATCAATTAGTATTAATTGATAAATTAGTCACAACTATAAATTATATTATTACCTATTATGTATAACCTCTTTTGCATATATATATAAAACATGTGTGATCATATTTGACACACAGAAATACAATCACAATATGGTATCAGAGCCCATTTTAAGATCCGTTGGGTCATTTCGCTATCAGACCATCCATCATTTAGTTTCATGTTCTAGGCATTCAATCCTGGACGTGAGAGGATGTTAAGAGTTCCACATCAGACAATATATAATTTGAACATGTACTTATAAGTGAGGGAAATCATCACCCTACAAGTCAGTTTTGTAGGGTTGAGTTAGACTCAACTCACACATTCTAAGATGGTATCAAATCCAAAGAATAAAAAAAGGGAACCTTCAAAGAATAAAACACAAGCATATTTAGGATTTGGATCATGAGATCAAATACCTTTCTGTAATGCTATTGGAAGGTCAAGTTCAGGTGAAGTTATGACTGATCCCAATTAACGTCAGGCGATGATGAAAGAAATGGTTGCATTGTATTCAGTTAATACTTGGAACATTGTTACTTTACCTTCACTTAAAACTACAGTGGGATGTCGATGGGTTATACAGTGAAAGTTGGACCAGATGGTCAGATTGATTGTTTCAAAGCTTGTCTGGTAGCCAAGGGATAGACATAAATATTTGGTCTTGATTATGGTAACACTTTTTCTCCAGTAGCCAAGATTAGTTCAGTCCGTATCTTCCTTGCAATGACTGCTATTAATCATTAGTCACTTCATCAGTTGAACATTAAAAATTTCTTTTTACACAGAGAATTGAAGGAGGAAGTTTAAATGGAACAACCTCCAAAATTTATTGTTCCTGGCAATTCAAAACTTGTTTGTCAAATTAACCGATCTCTTATGGGCTGAAACAATCTCCATGTGCTTGGTTTGATCGCTTCAGCCCTGCCTTGATAAAGTTTGGTATGACTAGATGTGAAGCATGCCACTCTATTTTCTTCCTTCATTCCTCCACCGGCCAGTGCATCTTTCTTGTGGTCTATGTTGATGATATTGTTATCACTGGAGACGATACATAGGATATCCAACGACTCAAAACTCATCTTTTCAAAAGCTTTCAAACAAAAGGTTTGAATCCACTCAGATACTTCTTAGGAATTGAAGTTTCTCAGTGGTCATCTGGAATTGCAATTAATCAACGTAAGTATACATTAGACATCCAGACTGAAACTTTTGTGCTTGACTGTCGTCCGATTGATACTCATATGGATCCTAACGTCAAGCTTATTCCAAGTTAGGGGGAGCGGTTGAAAGACCTGGAAAGATATTGGTGTCTAGTGGATAGATTCAATTATTTTATTATCACCTGACCAAATATTATTTTTGCAATGAGCATTGTGAGTCAACTTTTGAAAGCTCCTTGTGATACTCATTGAAATACATTTATTCGGATTCTCAGATATATAAATAATGCACCCATGAAAAGGCCTATTATATGAAGGTAAGGGTGATGCTAAAGTCACTTATTATTCAAAGATGGAGACTGGGCAAGATCATCGTCGGATATAAGATTCACTTCTGAATATTGTGTTCTTATTGGAGAAAATATGATCTCATGAAGGAGCAAGAAACAAAATACAATTGAATTATCTAGTGTTAAAGCTGAATATTGTGTTATACCAGCAGCATCAAAGAAACTTGCATGACAAGAATTTACTCTCAGAACTTCGGTTGGAAGACCTTCAGGCCACAAAACTCATATGCGATAATCAAGCGGCACTTCACATTGCATCCATTTTGATTTTCCCTTAACAAAACACATAGAAATAGATTGTCATTATATAAGAGACAAAATACTCTCAGGAGAAATAACCACATAATTAGTCAAATATGAAGATCAATTAGTTGCTATGTTTACCAAGTCTCTCAAAGATTGTCGAGTGAATTATATTTGTAAAAAGCTCGAATCATACAATATATATGATTCACCTTGATGGGGAGTGTTAAGAATTCGTTATCTATCAATTAGTATTGATTGATATTCAATTAGTCATAAATATAAATTATATTATATTATTATCTATTGTGTATAACCTCTTTTACATACAAATATACGGCATGTGTGATCATTTTGACCCACAAAAGTACAATCACAATAAATATAAATATTACTCATAATATTTATACCTATATAAAATTTTTATATTTTATTATTATCTCACTTCACTTGACTGCAAATATTTTTAAAATATTATACTTTTTAATAGGATTTTACGATTAAATTATAAATATTTTATATAACAAACTACCTATTATAAGAACTTTATTGCTTTAAAAAAACTATAAAATAATGTCGCGTTATTATTACTAAATAATTTCACGTTTTAATAAAATTATTGGTCTGAACTTACACCAACAAATATTTATTAGGATGACTAGCTTCTGAAACTTTATTTTATTAGGATGACTAGCTTATGAGACTATTCTTATACATCGTCTACTGAATCAAACAATTGTGGTACATATCTACAATTTTTTGAGATTAAAAATTTCAAATTAATTAAAAAATTATAAGTGAGATGACCCGAATCAAATAATTGTTGTACATATCTACAATATTTTGAGAAACATGTGAGTTAAAAGTTCCAAATTAATTAAAAATTAAAAAAAAAAATTATAGATGACCCATATATTTAATTTCTTAAAGTTTTGATTGAATAAATGTGTATGTATGTTTCTCTTGACCCATATTCTAAACTAATGCTTGATAGGACATATTTCTAAAATATTCTCAATAATTGATTATGTTTTGGAAACAATTATGTAGAAAATACCAGCAAATGTTTCCATGGAAAAACAAAACTTTAGTCTGTTCAAATGTACCTATCCGCTTCCAAATACAAAATTCATCCCCTTAATTTCTATCCAAAAGTAAGTTATGTTGATTTACATTAATTTAATCTGCATTTATTTTCTAGAATAACATCAACAGGTTGATCTCACACTGTGTTTTATAGTTACAGTTCAGCGTAGAAGTAGATTTCAATATCCAAAATTGTCAACCATGCCAACAAAGTTTAGCATTACAAGACAAGCCTTCATAAGTTATATATATATATATATATATGGTTTTTATACATACTTTACTTCACTAGTGCATGCAAACATTGCTATCTAATCATCAAACTTGGTTGCTGCTGTTTCAAAACTATAATTACACAGCAGCTTAGCTTGGTTTCTACTGGTTTAAAACCATATATACAAAGCAGCTTAGCTTGGTTTAAGTTACAAAAAGGGAAAACCACTTGATGCACAGCCACAGCCACAGACAATAGCATTGCCTCAAAAACCAAAAAAGACTTGCCCAGTAACTAGTACAGTTATTTGGGTTCTCCTATTGCTAACCCAGTTAGCAAATCTACTGAACGATAAGCATCCAAATCAAATGGGAAGAAGGGGTCCTTGGATGTTTTTTCTGTCATTTTAAAAGCCAAGTCCACTACTGCATTGTTGACAAGAGGGTTATTTGCTTGAGGTTGCAAAGTTACATAGTAGTAGTCACCACAACACACATTAGCCTTCTTTTCATCCTTCTTAAGATCTTGAATGCTCTTCTGTTTATTATTGTCAGTCATCAATGCATCCTTCTTCTGTTCCTTCATCTTCTTGCTTTCCTCCACATATGGCTACATGAAAAAAGTATTTAGAACTTACAAGTCATAAATTCCAAGCAAATCTTATGTTATATCAATTTCTTCTATTGAACCTGTTTATCAATGTCTGACAACTTATTCCATTCTTCCACAGCCATGCGCAGGATGGCTTTGCTATCTATGTCCTGACCAGAAGCTTTTAATCGGGCACATTCCTGCTTGAGGAAAATTTGATAACCACTTCGTCCCGTAGGACAACCTCGCTTTTTCTTCTTTTCTTTGTCCTTTGATGGTGTTTGTAGGAGCACTTCAGGTATTGCTGCATAAGTAACAAACATGTGTTGGAACTTAGTAAATTCATTAAGGTTCTAAATTCCTCTAACCTGTCACTTTGGTAGGGCAGTCCTTTGATATCTCTGCCTCTGTCGGATAATCTCCATCATCCATTAATTGGGACAAACTTGATGTTGATCCCTGCTTCCTTTTAGCTGAACCTTACAAAAAAATTGACAGTGTTGTAGTATTCAAGGTTAAACAACACATATTCAACTTAATACCAAAATGCACAAAAACATAATACAATGAAACAAAACAGAAATGAGTGTCTTAGATTAACCTTTGGTGCTGCCAGTTGCAGTTTGAGATGCAGGAAACCTGTAGAAGTAATATTTCTCAAATTTGTATAGAAGCTTTCCATAGAGCTTTTGAAGCTGACTACATAACCTTGCATTGTTTCCTTCCAGTTTTAGTGCTGAAACAATTTCACCCCATTTCTTTTCCTTACGAACCTGGAAACATTCAAGACACAAATTTTCATATAATATATACACATGCATTAATGAGAAATTAACATATGAATAAATACAACAAATTAAATCATGTCATTATGTGAGAAAAGTACCTGGTGATAGCCTCCTCTTTTGGTGACCTCCAAGTAAAACTGGTACAAATCTATGCATGTTTTTCTCACATTCAAACTGAAAGTGGAATCAAGACATGATTTCATAAAAAAAGAAAAAACTAGACTTTGAATGCATGCAATTTTTGAGCAACCAAGCCGAACAACAAAAAATACCGAAAATAACCCTCCAGAAAAACACATGCAAATATGGCAAAACGAAAAACGAGAAGCAGAATGAAGAAACGGGTTACATGAGAGTGTATCCAGAGGAGTCCAACAAGTCAGTGAGTTTGACGTAGAAGGTCTCTAAGTCATCAGGCGAAGAGTACTGTTTCACATCAACATTGGTGAGTTGGGTATCTGGTTCTGGTTGTGATGAGACCATTGCCTTCACCTCTTCCTTTTCTTCTTCCATGTTTCAGCTATAGAAACCAACTAAATTCACTTGCTTTTTCTGTGTTGTTTGCGTGGACTTGTTGAAAACAAGAGCTTTATGTTATGTATATGGACTTTGTTACAATCGAAAATCGACACTTGATTGCTTTCTTGTATGACACCTATGCTTACTTCGCCGACTTACGTGCCACTCCTCTGTTTTCTCTTCTTTTATTTATATATTATGTAATCTATACTAAACAATACAATAATGAAATTACTAATTTACACTCTTACACAACCTATACTTTTGAATTAGATGAGTAAAAACATACTTTTGATTTAGATACAAAAATTAATTTTTTCTAATAATAATTTAAAAAATGTATATATCAATGATACATCCATTTAAAAAGAAAATAATTCATCATTTTTTAATAACAAATATTTTCTTACACTACTTAAAAGAAAACTCACACAAGAAAATAAAAGTCATATATAAGTATATATTAATGTTGTGCGATAATTTTATAAATTCGAACTATTTAAATTATATATGAAGAGATATTGGCTAAAGTACGAAGAAAGAGTAAAGAGACAAAATGATTTTTCTATTACAATAGATTTATATCAAGGTCCAACATTAAATCTCTGTCTTTTTACCTTAATTAATTTTGGATGTATTCACGAATATGTTCAATAGCTATCACTAATATGTATTCTTTTTGCAGATGATATATTTCTATTTAGAGAATCGAAGAAAATTTAAATGAGAGGTTGAAGACTAGATTTAGGGATGCGTGAGTATATGAAATGTAAGTTCAAACAAAAAAAAAGAAACTTTTCTAACCTATAGGGAAAAGTTGGAGACCATGTCATCCTCTCAAGTCACGCGGTTTAAATATCTTGAGTCTGTAATACAAAATAATAGAGAAATATAAGGAGATTTAAACCATCGAATTCAAGTTGGATGAATAAAATAAATGAGGGTTTCATGGATTTTATGTGAGGCAGAGGTATCGTTCAAACTTAAGGGAAAATTTTATCGAATTGTGATAAAACTTGCAATTTTGTAGGGGACTGAATGTTAGGCGGTTAAAAATCAACACAAGAATAAAGTTAGTGTAGCATAGATGAGGTTGTTGCATTGGATGTGTGGTATGACTAGACATGATAGAATTAGAAATTAAAGCATTAGAGAAAGTGTTGGGTAGCAACTATAGTAGAGAAGATGGTGGAAAATAGACTTGTATTACTAGAAAAACAACTATTAATGTCGGTTGTTAGTAGACGCTAAAAGCCAACGCTAATATGGATTTAGTGTTGGCTTTAGCGTCCGGTTTGACCCTTGGATAAAACATATGAAGCTATAGTGTAGCGCGACTGCAAAGCACCCGTGGCTAACTAGCCTCAGGTAAACTGAGTCTAAGTAGACGCAACCACACAACATTTGTAGCTACTACTAGTACACATACAAACAACATCGATTAAGTAATATAAATATAAAATTGAAAACTTTACTCACATTAATTATTGATAAACCCGACCCAAATGTTTATTTCCATAAAGTGCTCAAAGGAGATTGAGTTCAGGGTTGTCGAAGGTCACCTTAATGGTTTTTGTTGGTGAGACTATTGTTCTGTCAAAAAATGGAAAAAGTTAAAGCTATAAAGCTATCAAAGAAATGAAAGGAAAAATTGAAATTGAAAACCCTATTTAGAATGAGAAAACTTATCTTAGCTTGGTTAATATTTTCAGTGAAACCAAGCTCAGGGTAAAACGAGTTTTAAGGGGAATACAAAATGCATGCATAACCTTTTACAAATAAGAAACCTTAGAACTCAATAGAATGGGTTGAAACAAAAATGGCATCTTCTATTGATTTCAGTTGGATTTAATTCTAGCATTGGAACGGAAACCCTAGAACTCCATGAAAAAGGTTTGAAATGGAAACTCAATAGCTTCATGGAAAAGGCTTGAAACGAAAAAGGATTCTTTAGTTGATTCTAGGGTTGAAACGAAATTTACTTCTTCAATCCATTCTTGATGTAATTGATTTTTGGCTTGAAATGAAACGGAAAGGGTTGAAAGGACATGATGGAAAACGAAATGGTAACATGGAAATGAAAAGTCAAATGAAGCTGAAAAACGAAAAAGAACAAGGGGGAATTGAAAAGGAACGAGGGAAAAAATAAAATGAGAAAAATGAAATACGATAAAAAAGAAAAGTGATACAAATATTTAGTGACTAACAAATTTTTAAATATTAAAAGTTGTAAAAAACATTTTTCAACAAAATTGTTATGGTTTAGTGGCTAGCGAAATAATACAAGAGTTTTGGCTATCAAAATGTCACGAGCTCGAACCTTGCTTGGCTCAAAACTTCAAATTATTTTCAATTATTCTAGTGGTGTTAGGTGATTTGGATATTTAGATAGAAGACATGTAAATTATGTGATAATGAGATTATATCATATTTAGAGAAGTCAAATCGTCTCTAATTAATCAAATTATATACGGGGCTAAAATTCATTATTCTAGTGGTGTTAGGTGATTTGGATATTTAGATAGAAGACATGTAAATTATGTGATAATGAGATTATATCATATTTAGAGAAGTCAAATAACTACAGAAAAAGGAAGACTTAGAAAGATTATAAGAGGAGTTATTAAGAAAGCTCTTGAGATAAATAATTTAGATAGATATGTGTTCCTAGATAGAATATTATAGTGAAAGTTGATTCATGTAGTCAATCTCACTTAGTGGAATAAAACTTGATTGTTGTTGATGTATTATTTTTTTATTATTAACTTTTTTTATAGTATTATTGTTTAACATTCTTCAATAAAACAATTAAAAAATTTAGTAGCACACATTACATTAATTTTGTTTATGAAGTGTTTAATTTATTACTAAAGGTACAAACAATAATCTACTTTAATTTTGTTACTTTCCTTGCCATCAGACTTCTTGCTAGCCAGAGTTGTTGTCTTCTTATTCACCATGATGGATAAAGAGGATGAACATGAGGATAATACTCCAGTTGAATGTTGTGATGATGGCCTAGGTCAGTTTTATTGGAGTCATATGGTGGACGTCAATTGTACTTGCTAAAAGCACAAATACGTAACAACCTCTAGTGATTAAGAGTTGTCACATGCTTGTTGAGAACTAGCTCACGTGAGATGAGAAGCTCTATATACTTGTATTTCTGTGTTATAGTTAGGTTCTTCTATCACAATATTATGGTATTTATAGCTACTCTGGGTATGGATCTAAGAACTCTTTGGAAATAGAAACCACTCTTGATATTCAGAGGAGTGTGACCCACTTTCCTTATGACCGCTTCCATGGTGTTGCAGGATGATAACATGTTATTCCCTAATTTCCAAGCCAGACGACTCATCCTTGATGAATGAGAGATATTTAGTAAAAGAGTGACACATATAATAAATAAGCAATTGATCTGATAAAGGGGAAACTAAGAACCCTCACGTCGTCTATCATATCCTTCACTAAAATATACTAATAGAACTAGGAGTGGTAAAATGAGTGCCCGCTCCGCCCTGCCTTAAACCCGCCAAAAGAGGAGCAGGGCAGGAAAGTCCGCCAAGTGAAAATGAGCATAAAAATCTAGTTTGCCCCGCCAAAATGGCTGGTTGGCGGGCGACAGACTTGCCCGCCTATTTTTTTTTTAATTGATTAATAGACTTTTTTTTTACATTTCAATTAATTTTTTTACATATTTTTTAGAACAATTCTTATAAAGCTTATTTTTAATAAATTTTACTTTAAAAAATTGCATATATTCACAAATAAACGTATAAAATAAAACCATCAAGAATTGGAATGACTAGAATTAAATTAAAAAAAGGCGGGCTTAAGGCGAGACGGGCTGAACGGATAGGCGGAGCGGGTTTTGGCGAGCGACGGGCTTTGGCGGGCGGCGAGTCCAAAATTCCAATCCAACTCGCCATTTTTTGGCGGGTGCGCGGGCCGACCCGACGGGCTATGACCCCTTTTGTCACCCCTAAATACAACTTATATATGATTTTTAACAAGGTGCGTGGTAAACCTCTTATGAAGCAATTGACCCATGATCATTAAGTTATTCATCTTACTTGAAGCATGCGACACACTTGCGATGAATGCTTGATTTTCTTGTCTGTCTTTGATCAAAACATTTGTTACTCCTTCTGGTAAAATGATTCTATTTTAAACAAATATCATTTTTATCTTTATTTAATCATTAAAATTGAATAGCCATTTTCGATGACTTGTCATATGATTTTAATAACCTTGTCCTTAATAGCACCCATTTATGATTTCAAATTTGTCTATTTTATTTCTATCCAGAGGGTCTGAATCATAGTCACTCTCACCATGAGCCATGCATATCTCATTTTGTACATCGCCTTTGTCTCTAGAAACATGTTTGTTCTTTAATTCTCATTAGTTTCTTTCCCTTACAATATTGATTAAAGCTATTATTTCTTGAAGAAGATTCAAGTTGATAATCATTTTTTGGAGTTATTTTGATGAGATATCATTTTCTTGATCTTGTATTTTCTGCTCCACTTAGAACCACCACCTTTTAAATGTTTGAACTTGAACGTTCAGTTACTCGTTTCGTGATTTATTTCAAGCACCCTTTGATTCCTCAATCTTCACAACAAATACAACTCTTTGATTTCTCAATTGGAAACATAATGTAATCAAATTTAGAGGAGAGAGTGCACACTATTTTGTTCATGATGGTTTGATTAGAAACAATTTCACCACAACTCTTCATCTAATTGGTGACCTTCATGGTCTTATTCAAAAACCAAGTAACCTTCTCATTTTCTCCATCGACAACAACTCGAATGGTCTTTTAATATTTAGTTTTCTATTACCAACATGACTTTTCTCAAGAATGTCTCGCGCCTACTACGTTGAAGTAGAATTCTCAAATGAATGCAAAAGCTAAACGTTAAGAACCAAAAAACTTGAGAGTTTATATATCATTTGTTATATCTATACACACATATAAGAAAAAG